CCCCCCCCCCCCCCCCCCCCCCCCCCGAAAATGGCTGGGCTGTTCGACCAAAAACAATGCCAACAATCACGGGTCAGACGCACACCACTGGCCCTCGTTTGTCGCCAATGAGAAAGTAGCAGGAGGGAGATAATTTTCCAGGTGAGTCCTGTGTGTGTCGCATTTCGTGAGGGAGGTACTCATCCAGCTCTTCTTCTCGATCATTTGCACAGACCGCCTGCCGTTTCCCCCAAGGGAGACTTCCACCGCCGGCGGGGGGTCTGCCTCCGCCCGCCGGGCCGTCAGAAAGTCCGAATTCGAGGGCAGGGCGTTGCTGACGTGCACTACTTACGTGCATAGGTTTATGGGTTTTGGTCGAACAGCCCAGCCATTTTCGGGTAGGGGAAAGAAAAAACGGGTACCCCTGGGGTGAGAAGTCAAGATCGGGTGCACCCGGTGGAAAGAAGGTCAAGGTCGGGTAAGGGGCGGGCGTCCGCCAATCAGATGGTGGCATGCGGTCGCTCCCAGCAGCATCTTGTAGGGGTACCCGATTATGGCCGTGTTTGGACCGGGTGTACCCGATTTTGGCCACTGCTCAAATAAAAACAACACATGTCGCGTGCATGAAGCAATCACCAACACGACGCGGGAAAAGCGTGACCTTCCTACGGGCTGCGGTGCAAGCGGGTTCGACAAGCTCGCTTACCCGCAAAGAAAAGAAAGACAGAATAATAATAAAACAACGATAATGATTATATAATAATAATAGTAACAATAACAACAGTAACAGTAATAATGATAACAATAACAATAATGATAATGATAATTATAATATAACAATGATAATAACAGTAAAAATAACAATCAAACACACAAACACGTCGTGCGAGATTCTGCGATATGAGGCGACACAAGAGTTAAATCGCTCCGAATGAATACCAACCGAGTTTCGTCAACCACACTTGCTTGTAATTCACACCCGAGCCACCCTTGAGCCGCAAATAAAACCCTTAACCACTACGCAAGGATGGCAGCGGAGGGGCACCAGTCAAGCTTCGTGTGCGAGCATTTGAAGAAAGTACTATCCTATCCAGCAGTGAGACTAACGTTTCGAGGAATTACAGATGGCGTCCGCACTTCAGAACCTCTAGTTTCGGCCGAGGCTGCTGGGGTTCTCGTTTTGCTGATCATCCTCTTGTGGGCTACAAATGGCCGCTATATAGGTTTTATTATTACAAGGGTGTGTTTGGTAAGGTACATACTGAGGCGTACCAGCGGTATTATACCTCCGGTATACCCGTACCGAGATGTTCGGTACGTTCGGTACGGACTTGAATACCTTACCGAAGTGTTCGTTACGTTCGGTACGGACTTCAAGACCTTACCGAAAATACCGGTACGTTCGGTATGGACTTCAACACCTTACCGATGTTTTCGGTACGTTCGTTACAAATACCGACATGTTCGGTACGGTACCGGTATGGACTGAGGTACCATACCGGGGATGCTCGGTACGTTCGGTATGGACTTGAATACTTCTCCGAAAATAGCGGTACGTTCGGTACGGACTTCAATACCTTACCGAAGTGTTCGGTACGTTCGGTACGGACTTCAATACCTTACCGAAAATACCGGTACGTTCGGTACGATGTAAATACCGGTACCGGTGCGATACCGGTACCGAGTACCGGTACCGGGCTAATTATAAAACTAAAATTGAAGTTAAAATTAAAATTATACTCCGTGTTCAAGATGAAGACCCGTGTTGTTTTTAATTTGCTGTTCTCTCCTGCCTTCCATTTTCAATAGGGAGAGTCTCGGATTCGGATTGACTCCGTACCATATTTTTTTGGTCTTACTGTTGTGCGCACTCACACATTCTTGATGGGCGATATCAATATTGATATTGCATGTAAGTATTGGGGCGTATTGCGTGTAATATTAATATTGGGGCGACGCTCGGGAGAAATACCGGACAAATACTGGTATCGCCGGTATGGTACCGGTATGGACTGCCATACCATACCGGGATGTTCGGTATGTTCGGTATGGACTTCAATACCTTACCGAAATGTTCGGTACGTTCGGTACGGACTTCAATACCTTACCGAAAATACCGGTACGTTCGGTACGATGTAAATACCGGTACCGGTGCGATACCGGTACCGAGTACCGGTACCGGGCTAATCATAAAACTAAAATTGAAGTTAAACTTAAAATTATACTCCGTGTTCAAGATGAAGACCCGTGTTGTTATTAATTTGCTGTTCTCTCCTGCCTTCCATTCAATAGGGAGAGTCTCGGATTCGGATTGCCTCCGTACCATATATTTTTGGTCTTACTGTTGTGCGCACTCACACATTCTTGATGGGCGATATCAATATTGATATTGCATGTAAGTATTGGGGCGTATTGCGTGTAATATTAATATTGGGGCGACGCTCGGGGGAAATACCGGACAAATACTGGTATCGCCGGTATGGTACCGGTATGGACTGCCATACCATACCGGGATGTTCGGTACGTTCGGTATGGACTTCAATACCTTACCAAAGTGTTCGGTACGTTCAGTACGGACTTCACTACCTTACCGAAAATACCGGTACGTTTGGTATGGACTTCAATACCTTACCGAAGTTTTCGGTACGTTCGGTACAAATACCGAGATGTTCGGTACGGTACCGGTACGAACGGTCATACCATACCGGAATGCTCGGTACGTTCGGTACGGACTTCAATACCTTACCGAAAATACCGATACGTTCGGTATGGACTTCAATACCTTACCGAAGTGTTCGGTACGTTCGGTACGATGTAAATACCTTACCGAAAATACCGGTACCGTACCAAACACGCCCTTCGGCGTTTTAGTGTCGGGTTCTTAACCGAGCTCACAAATGGTGCTCAAATTGTTAGCTTCTGCTTTTTTGCGAGTCTCAATTTCTTAACTGCTAAGTTCTTAAGTGCGGGCGCTATCTGTACGTCTTCAAAACCAAAAAATGCAAAATGCACAAAACAAAAATACACAAAACGAAACACACCCAACACTTCCATAGTCAGCCTGCACACATTTGGTTGAGAAAGCATTAATACTTTATACTGCCATATACGTAGGCATGTGTTGAAATCTTCCCAGTAGTGAGTGGTACATACAAAAACCTGCTGGACACGGGCTCATCGTGAGTCTAAGCCTATAAATACAATGGGGGATCACACAAGTGCCAATCAGCACGAAAAACAAACGTCAACCCCGTCAGGGGGTCACGCGTCCACACCTGGGCGAGCTTCCCTCTGGGTCGCCGAGGACTCCGATGGTCAGCTTCCTCAGGGCCACCACCACGTCCAGCTTGCGCGTCGACTCCTGCAGACGGAAGAAGAGGGAGGCAAGGCAGGCAGGCAGGTACACCGGTCCGTCCGCGACACGGGAGGGCGAGAGCCCCGACCAATCAGAAACAAACACATGTAGCGTGGCATGTCTGTCGTCGTTGACCAACATCAGATGGCGCCCGCACTTAAGAACCTCTAGTTTCGGCTGAGGCTGCTGGGGTTCTTAATTTGCTGATAATCCTCTTGTGGGCTACAAATGGCCGCTATATAGGTTCTATAATAGTGTCGGGTTCTTAACCGAGCTCACAAATGGTGCTCAAGTTCTTAGCTTCTGATTTTTACGAGTCTCAATTTCTTAATTGCGAAGTTCTTAAGTGCGGGCGCTACCTGTAGCAGAATAACCAAAAAGAGGACGACAACAGTAGTTCTGACGTCGTTCACCAATCAGAACCGACAACATAGCACGACATTTCTGTCGTCGTCGCTCCACTATCAACAACTAGCAGTTGCACGGGATTCTCTTGTAAGTCAATGCCGCTGTACGCAGGCGTTTGGGTTCCGGCTGGTATCACCGACTGCTCAGTGTAAAACGTAAAAAAACAGACTCAAGCAAGTCCCTTGTCATCAGCGGGTGACCCTCTCTCTGCGAAAGGCTTCAACACACCCCTCCGAACGGGCTATTTTGTCGAAAGCCTTTCCTTCATGTGTTACACGACTATTCTCTGAAGAGCACAAAACACACACGGTCGCACCACGGCCGTACGAAACGGGCGGGGAAAATTCGGTACAAGGGGGGCTCCGCAGAGGGAAAACTGGCTGTTGCGCCGTTACCACCGCCACGTGGTGCAGGCGCAACCGAAGCCGGGCTATGCGTATAGTTTGTTAAGACCAACAACTGCTGCGTCAGGCGCGAACAGGTCGAAAACAACAAACAGCACTCCAACCTACCCGCAACAACATTGCCCAATAGACGCTCCTGGCAACACAGCAGGCGCACGATGCCTGCTCCACAAGACAGCTGTTCGATGCAAGAGCATAATGTGCCCTCTCCAGACATCATACCCTTGGCCACGAAACCACCCGCCACAACCAAGAGCAATACACAGG